CGAAGACATCCAAAAATGTGAATTCAATGCTTATATTTACATTCTTTACTTTTCCTTCTTCATAATTTCTTATTTCGCTAATCTCATATGCTAATTTAGCGCCCTTTAAAACTGCCGCGGTTAATAGATGTAAGAGCCGCTTGTGACGTCAAATGGCGTTGCAAAGTTAAATTATGCAAACAAATACTGCGAGGAAAAAAAGGACAAATTAATTCTTAACGCACATTACGTTAATTTTTACGATAATTTTTCAGGTTTATAGTTTTTCATTAAATTGAAATAAAACATTTTACATTTTGGTGTTCCTAGAGTAATTCATCTTTGCTAGCCAGGGGTTTCTGATACGCTCCTCTCCTCATCAGAAACCCCTGGCTAGCGAAGATGGGAGTAATTGAAAATGCATATAGTTCCTACTGTGTATTCTATAAACACGCGGTGACAAGGTTTCGCGTGTGTTATAGAAATACGAATGTCGTGGATTTCTAATGGATTTCATAAGGAAAATTACACTGAATGTAAATATTCTGATATAACTAATTTGCTGTACTGTTTCCTGTGTGAATTTTACATCTGCATTTCGCGAACAATTTTAAGGTCCATGTACACAATATTCAAATACTAAATATTAAAATTTTGTTCAGTTATTTTCGCTACATTTAATATTCAAGTGAAATGAATTATTTACCCGACACTGAAACAAATTATGTGTCAAAAATTCTATTCATACGTAAATCCGCCTCTATGAAGTAAAGTATTATGATCCACAAAACATCACAAATGCCATTTTTATTTTTAAAAACAATGTCACTCGAGCCCGACATTAAAGCATAACGATTAAATGATGCACTCAGAAAGAAGAAAAGACAATGAATTATCACATAGTATAATGTTTATACTTTAAAAGTTTTCATAAATAAAAATTGACAATTTTAAATGAGTTGATTATTGTATGATAGGCCTATTCAAAGGGAATCCAGGGGCGGCGCATCGGGCTTGCCCCCCCCCCCCCCCCCCCGATTTTAAATTTTTGTATGTTAAATTTATATGTCCAGTATCCTAAAATAAAAGAAAAAACGTCTCTTATTTGTAAGAACTTGTCAGCTTCCGGGGGCTTCGCCCGCGCAACCCAAAAGAAGACCCTGTCTTAGACCCACTGTGGGCTTCAGTACAGCCGCCAGAATAACCCAGGGCTCTGCCTACCAGGCACGTAGCATCCGGGGGGGGGGGGGGGGGCCAGGGGTGGGGCTGGCCCCCCACTTTTTTCCCCAACATTACCTTTAGTATATAAAATGTCTATTGAGAAGATGGTTGCCCCCCCCCTTTTTACCACAGTATATACATAGCAAGGAGATATAGGAAAAAAATGGAAGTGAAAGGAAGTTTGCCTTGAAAAAAGTTGGCCACTAACACCCCCCCCCCCCCCCCCCCCCCCCCCCCCCCCCCACGACATAGGATTTTCGAGTTTGGGTAATTTTAAATTTTCGTTTTTTTTTTTTATTTTTGCTTGCTTGTCAACTTTTTTTAGGTAAGTAAAAAAATTTTCTCATGTTGGCCCCCCAACTTTCAAAAACGATGCTACGTGCCTGCCTACTACTGCCCCCCTCCCCTTTTGAAATTCCTGGATCCGCCACTGCTATTTGTGTGTTCACGCAACATACATCAACCTGTTCTATAAGTAGAATTAATTTGTTGGTTGATGGATTGAAATTCATTTGTTTTCTTATATCTTTTCATGTATAAGACTAAGTGCTAGTAAAGATTTTTTTCTATTGTATTGCTTGCAGTTAAATCATACACATATTTTACTTGGCACATAAGAAAGCAAGTTCCACCTTTCCACTGTTGTACCCCTTTTCAGTTTAACAAGCGTTGCTTATGGAGTTTAGGATTTATTTGTAATTCCCGGTTATACTCTTAAAGAATAACAGTTTCATATGATGTGTTTGTAAAACACTATGCCCCGGCAGAAACAAATTTCGAAAAAGCTATTTTTAGCATATACTAGTAGGTCAAAGTCAAGATCACAAGGTCATTGACCTTGGTGTCATTTGAATGAGCTTAATTAGTGGGGTAAGCACACCAAATATGAAGTCTCTAACTCTCATGGTTGAAAAAATCAAGGCGTAGGTTAAAATTGACAACAGACAGATAGACAAACAGATAAACAGACAAACAGACAGGACAAAAACAATATACGCTCCGGATCTCGATCCGGGCTCATATAATAAATATCAAAAAACTTTATGAACGATGTGTTATTTCCAGGCGCGGTGACTCCGCCATTGTGCGCATAATTATTGAGCAAATAATTACCAATGATAGATAATTACAATCATGGACGGGTGCGTATCATTACCGCTACATTTTCAAAATTTTCATTACCGCGCTATATGGTCAATACCGCTACAAAAAAGCTTACGTTATGGCTACATAAAAAAGTAGACATTACCGCTACATTGCCTCTTTCGTTAGCCAGCCACTTAGGTGTGTACAGTATAACCTATACATGCATAATACCCCTTTTCCCCTGCTCACCATGTTGGGGAGCTGAAAATAGGACTTTGTAGGTTTTTCATGAGGCTCATCTCCAGCCTTCTTTTTAGTAATACAAGCCTGTCTGATTTTCTGTCTTTCAATATCTCTCCTATCCGGCTCTGTGTGATCATGTTCAGGTTTCCCATCTAATACCAATAATTCGTTGAGGTATGTTTTGCAGTTGCTTTTGCAACTCTATTCAATGCATCTCCATGATTTTAAGTTTTTGAAAGTCTTATTTTTTCTAAAATTTATAACCATCGATAAGTAAGTCGGCATTCCCTCGATTTGTAACAAAGTTCTCAATGGTAGCCATAATGTTCAGATGACGCTAAATAATTCAATTTTGACTACGAGTTATTTATATATATGTACTTATTCTGAATAGAAAAGTAATGATCGGTCGAAAATCTTACAAAATGTAGCGGCAATGAGTTGAAATGTTTGGCAATGTAGCGGTAATGTTGACCTCCCTCATGGACACAAGGCAAGGTCACCAGAAAATAAATAATGGACCTGATTGGGACGCAGCAAAAAGGCTAAATATGATTTTTTTTTTAAAAAGGTTCAAATACGCAGGAACCGTCCTATATTGCTCAAGTAGTGTAAATGTGTATCCAACCGTAAACTTTTCTTTTCCGCTTTTCGTTTTCTGTGGAATTCTTTGCTTTCCAGGAGAACTGATCAATTTTACCACCAAAACAAATATTTAATAATGTCCACAAAACTAAAATGATTTGATTTTAATCCGTTAAAATGACATGACTATCTTCATACAGAGATTTTTTAAAAGAACCTATATTGTGTTTGAAAACTACTCACTGTAGACCGTCACCTGACATTTAGATATTACCCCGAGGGTATGATTATTATAATCATACCCTCGGGGTAACATCTAACTGTCAGGTATAAATAATATATTATAGTAGACTATAGGTCAGGAGGTTTTTTTTTCTAAATCATATACCGGTAATTTTATGTAACGTCAAGTTCCCGTGTGTTAATTATATTCAGCATTTTAATAAAAATTTACAAATGTTGTGGATTGAAATGCATACATAAAAACTTGCAAGTTTTCGTTATTTATTTTTGAAAATTCTGTCGGACTTGAAAGAGTTTTATTTGTTTAAGGTGTACTATATACATTTTTTGTATGAATCAACTTATTTTCTTAATTATATAAAATTAAATTTTATAAAAGATGACAATATATGAAGAGAGGCTTTTCATAAATGACAGGTTTAAAAAAACTTGAATAAAGCCGAGACTGTGCACATGAAAATATTTTCGTGCAAGTTTTGAAATGTTTGAAAAAGTCAATTCCGCTTTTTCACATGTGATTTTAATTTTTAAAATCCTTTCCTCAAAACACAATTGCTGCATAAGATTTGTTTTATTCTAAAAATGACATCAAGTTATCGAATGACAACTATACCCAGAGAGATTTCGCTATTAAATTATATCGCCATTATATTATATTATTTATATTTATGCACGGGGGTTGTCCGTAAAGTTCGTGGACAACATTTAAGGAATGTTTTTAAGTTTTGTGTGAGTGTTTGGTGTGTGAATCACACAGACTTGTCACGTAGGCATATTTCATGAAGCGCGCTAGTCCTTGATGACATTCCATTGAATTACGATTGGTTTTTCCCCTTGTCCTCTCAAGATTTAGTTTGCGCCGAGCCATTCAACTGATGCTATAATTCATTGTGCTGCTGCTGCTTAAAACAAACTCAATTACTGTGAAAATGTGTGCTGCTTTCAACAAATTCGTGAATTGGTCTGCTTTGCTTGCTTGGAACAAACTCAATTGCTTTGCAAAATGTGTACTGCTTCCCACAAATTTCATGCATATGCACAGTGCTTTGCTTGCTAAAATATCTTTAGTAACGTTCGCAGTTTGATAACCCGGAACGATAACTATATATACATGTAAATAAAGTTTATTTAAAATACATGTACATAAAATTTAATGTAAGGTTAATTACCGTTCGCGGTATACCCGGAACGGCCATTATTATGCTTATTATACCTACATGTACATGTAATATTATGCTTTCATGTTGCTTACTGCTGCTGCTGCTGCTTGTAATAATTTACGCTTGGCGACCCCTTGCTGCTTTTAAATATGCCACGACAAACAATCGCCAATATCAAAATAAACGTGTGTAAAATCATATTTGTTTTATTTTCCTGTATATAAATAATACTGTTTTCTTCTACTTTAAAAAATGTACTAGTATTTACTATAGCACTATGAACGCAACTTTTTCAGCTTTGAATACAGTTTCTTTCTCACACTCGCACAGTATAATTTACTCCATATTTATCGCATTCAGAAGCACATAAATGAAATTTTGTGCAAAAGAAATGAATCTTAGCTTTTGATGAAATTCTATGGTAAGAAAGATATTTGAAATTGCTTAAAAATTGTTGATCGAGGTGTACTCATTACAAAAAAAAAAATATTGGTCAATGTATTTAATTGATAGGAATGTTATAGGAATAACAAAAAACAAGCATTTTACACTTGTAATAGACCGCCTCATGATGAGTAAGATTAGGTAAAAATCTGAATGGATCTTTATTCATTTACAACTGAATTCCCAGAGATTTGTCTCAAATCAAAGCAACAATTAACATACCTTCAGTGACTGTGAACATTTGTTGCTCACAGACTCTAGCAGCATTACAGCAGGAGTAGCCAAAAGAGACACCACTTGTACAGTTTCTTACCACTGTGTAACCATTCACTGTTCGTGTCGTGCCTGCCTCGTCACCGTAAATCTAGAAATTTTATGACACTTTCATGAACAACTTATAATAATTAACGTATAATAATTAAAATTCCTCGCAGGAAGTTTAAAAGCAGATTTCCTAAAAAATGAGACTTACGAAGGCAGGGGTCTATTGGAATATATATTTTAAGTACTAGTGTACTTATACGTAATTTTTAAGAATTTCTATATCATTGGATATTTATTTATATAAATCTTCAATATGATATAATTCAGCAGCATTTGCCCACCCTTATACATTTTCTTTTACTAATAAGAGAAATAGAGCTAATAATCATTTAACCGACATTATATGATTCAGTATAAATCCTGGGCTCCCCGTTCTTTAATATTATCGTTGTAAAACATGATACCATTGTTAATGTTCCGTTCTCTCCTGTAAAACATGTTGATACTGCGCATCCCTCTACTTGTTCGGGTTTTTCAAAGCAAAGATCTAAGAAAAATAATTAATATCAATAGCAAAAGTAAGTCGTGACTTTATAACAATAAAATTATTAAATGCTTTAAAAATGTATGAATGTAACCTGGATATTATAATTACACAGAAAACAAACAAATGTAAAGACTGTCCATAAAAAACTTACACGGTCAAATGTACGAACCTTTATATATACTCAACAAAAAAAGAAACGCATATTGCTTTACTAGTCAAAGAAATTTTTCAAATGTACATGGAACAACTATCTTTTATATCATTGGATACCTGTGACCTATTTAAAGGACAACATAGGGTTTTAAAACCCAATTGTTGAATTATCTCCCTTGATTAAACGCGTTTATGAAAGTAGTGTTTTTCATGATTTCTTCTGAATCGGACGTCTATTTTCGCTGATATTTTGGATTTAGAGAAACTATCAACACTCCTATTAAACTCATATTTAAGATTTGATTGCAGTGTTGATGCTTCAATGCCACGCCGAAACAAAGATAAACACAACCAGGCTAACGCTGATACTAAACGGAGCTGCGCAACAGGAAGTTGCAACTGCATTTGGAATACATCAATGGGCCTTGCAAGCGTTTAACTATCGACGGAAGACCAAGAATTAGCCGTCCGCAGGTAACCACACCCAGACAGGACCGTCTGACCCCCCCCCCCCCTTCAGCACCTTACGCGATTCAGAACTTGCTCTAAAAACTGCCGCTACAATTGCTGGATGAAAAAACTCAACATAAAAGAGCATAAATTGTTCGCAAGAGACTGAGGAGCTGGTATTCATGCACGACATCCGTATATTGGAAATCCACCAGCGCTTAGAAGTCGCAAAGGACATATGGATTAGATTAAACGGTATGCCCCAAGAATTTGGAGGGGTCGACCATGACATAAACTTCACTTTTCTACTGGCAATACATGATATGTTTAATTTTTATCAAAACCCTCTAAAATCACTTTTGAAAAAAATAAGGATTAAACTGAAAACTTAGATTATCATGTTTAATCTGAATATGCATTTCTTTTTTTGTTGAGTATATACCTCAAATATAAACGAAAAGTCCATTTTCTTGTGAATCTTCCCGAGAATTATACTTGACATATCAAATCAATATTACATTTTAAAAAACTTTTTCTCTTTGACATACCCTTTACTGACAATTGTAAGAGATACTCCGATGTCTGCTGTGTGACGTTGACATAACTAATTACCAGAACATATTTAGAAACGTCACTTTTCTTCACATTCAGTAAAACTAAATTTCCCAGCTGTGAAGAATCATTATGATTGTGGAGGAGCCGATTTTGGGCATCTCTGTAGATTTCAAACTTGTTTTCAGCTACCCTGTATTTGGCGAAGCTGGGATCCCCTGATACATCCTGTTTGTACCAAATATAACTATCCACAGTATGGTTCCTCTTCTCATGTAGATCAAAGGACAAAATAACTTTGTCATTCATGCATGCAACGATGGTTTTTTGGACATCTTGACCAATTACTACAAAGAAAATGCAGACTTTATGGAATACAGAATATAAAATAGGTTGTGAAAGTTTTATAGATGGGTCAGAGACCAGAAGAGCTTATGCGATAGTAATATGTCCGTCGTCTGTCCGTCTATCTGCCTATAGCTATCTGTCTGTATGTCTGTAAACAATTTCAAAATGCTACTCCTCCTACAGTTTTGGTTTGATTTCAATATAACTTGGTATACAAATAGACTACATTAAGACACATAATTCTGTTTATCGGATTTTGACTTCGGTGAACGGTGTTACCGTGGTTACCAAAAATTTCTGTGGAATACTTTTAAAATGCTACTACTTCTACAGTTTTGGTCTGATTTCAATATAACTTGGCAAACAAGCAGACTATACTAAGATACATAATTCTTTTCATCGGGATTTGAATTGATTTCGATGAACGTTGTCGGCGTGGTTACTAAAAATAGAAATTTCTGTGAAGTGCTCTTAAAATGCTATTTCTCCAACAGTTTTAGTCTGATTTCAATATTACTTAGCACACAAGTAGACTACATTAAGATAGTTTTACATAATTCTATATATCAGTTTTTGCTTTCGATGAACGGTGTTGCCATGGTACATGTACATAACGGTATAACTAAAATTAAAAATAGAAATTTCTGTGAAATACGTTTAAAATGCTACTCCTCATACAGTTTTAGTCTGATTTCAGTATAACTTGGCACACAAATAGACTACACTAAGATGCATAATTCTGTGTATCGGTTTTTAATTTCGATGAATGGTGTTGCCATGGACTGGTTACTAAAAACAAGAAGAAATTTCAGTGGAATACTTTTAAAATGCTACTTCTCTTTCAGTTTTGGTCTGATTTCAATACAATCTGATTAAAATCAGATCCTTTTTATCCGCTCACATAGCGACATTCGTAGAAATGAATGTAGAAGTGTAAGTAAGTGTGGAGAAGATCTAATAGTTTCGTACAAAACAAACTTCTGTTCATATAATACAAAGTTTTAATTTTGTGAATAAAAAAGTAAGTAAAAATCTTTTTTTATTGATAAATACATGAACAAGTATACATAAAAAAGTATACAAAATTTCATACAAGGAGGAATTTGACATGTATTAACTATTGAGTATACCTGGTATCCATAATCATTCACTAGGCTAGGTTTATTTGAAGTTCATCTGAATATTACCCTCAATATGTCGCAGTACATCAATGGTCCCATCAACTTCGAGATAACAAAGTTTAACTATTATAATACATTTTAAAGCATAATTCTGATTGAAGTCACGACTAACTTTTGCTTTGTACAACCCGAGCAAGTAAAGGGATACGCAGTATCAATATGTTTTACAGGAGAGTTCGGAAACCTAATAACGGTATCGCAGAATTTCACAATGAAATTATCAAGGAAGGAGCGTTTTAATCTGAATCGACTTATGTAGGCTAAAGATTATAGTCTTATTTCTCTTATTAGTAATAGAAAATGTATAAAGATGGGAAAATGCTGTTGAATATAAAACTTTGAAGATAATTTATTTATCCAAAGACATTGATTTTTTTAAAAAAAAAAAAGCAACAAACTTTTAGATCCTAATTTTCGTGCAATGCATACCAAGCGACACCTGTTTAATTAGACAAGTATTGCTTTTGATTTATTTAATGTCTATCAATTTCATAATTTACAAAGACGGTTTAACCCTTACAATGATAAACCCATGTTTTGGTGGATATCACCAACTGATGCTCTCTTTAATGCTTAATTGCATATACTTTTGACATACTCCTTGACATAACTTAATTTGGATAAACAGACTTCAAACTTTTTTTCTTTTTTGAAATTATTATATTTAATGGGATAATCAAACACAGACATTCATATCGGTTTTATTTGGCTTTGAAAAATAGTTATGGTTCATAATAAGAATATCAAAGGTTTATATTTTTTAATGAGTGATATATTTCATGTGGGACACATACCATTAAGTGGATATTCTGAGGGTTAGGAGTCTACCACTGGTTGTATTCTGCTAATCCCTTTATATACACAGCAGCTGAACTTTAAAATTGATATATATATCTTTGATGGTTTTTTACATAGGTGCATACCGGTATATGTTTCTTGCTCTATTATGTTAACGTTTTCCAAAGTTATACGTGATAACTTTACAAGGTTTGTTTCAACAACCCCGTCCCTTTATCATGGACCATCTAACATTATATAGAATACCTAAAAACTATTTTTTAATTTTTTTTTTACTATTTTCGTCAAATAAAAGGAATTTAAGTAAACATGTATTCAATAACATGAAAAATCTATTTATAATTAATATTCTTTACTGATGCTAATTTACAACATTCAAAAAAATATTATTTATTTATGTATTATTATTTTTTATAAAATGTGCATAATTCGGACAACGCATTTTAAAAGTAACCCTAAATGGATTGATCTTTTATAAGGCATACAATACAATTCACATTAAGGTTGTTTCTAGCTTGCATCACTTCACTTTAACCTACATTTTAAAAATACTTAGTTCATCACCTTCCCGACCGAAAAAAACAAAAACAAAAAAAAACTTATTTTACTTGAAATCCTTAATACTTAATTTGAAAATTAGAGGGGAAATTAATTTTACATTTAGTAAGCAAAATCGGTTTCCAAGCCTGGGCATTTATTTCAAGAGAGGACCTCTAGCAAAAATGAAGAAATTGCTTTTTTTTTTACCCTTTTTAAAAAGTTTTTTAAACTGACTTTACACTCCCCATAAACTTATTGTTGCAATATTCTACTGAGTTTATGATAAAGAAATGGACATAACATCCTACACTTGTGTAAAAATCATATTGTTGCTCTATATAGCTCATTGATGACTTGATATTTAAGGTAAAAAATGAGGGTTAGCCAAGAAAGCATCTTGTTTGCATGCACTTGCGTGCACGTACAACGCGTTAAATGACATATAGTTGATATCATTGAAGCGTTTATAATTCTTTGATGAAATCCATCGATACTGGTCATATTTTTAAAAATGTCCTACATGACTGAGGCTCAAAAAGGGAGTTGGGGAGCGTTTGGGGAACATCTCTAACGGTCCCCGTTACAATTAACACTAGCTGATAAATAATCTAGATATTAGAACTCTTTTTATAATGTTCATAAAAATAACATCATGAAATAACATCATGAAATTCCAAATAGTCATGGATAAATTAACCTTAATTCTTTCTGTGTGTTGAACACCAATAAAATTAGACATACTTTGTTTGATGAACACCGAGAGAAATTTTTTCTAACGGTTTACATATTTTTTGAAATTACAGTCCGTCGGATAGAACGACAAATAGTTCCCTATGTCAAGGTGTACATGTACTTTAGCAATAATCAGTCAATCAATCAATGATCTGTACGAGGGTTGATCCAAAAATTCGTTGAATTTCTTCATATTTTATTTATTTATAAGTAAAATTGTATGAAAATTACAAATGAGAATATAGACACTTGTTAAATATTTTAAATTTTAAAAAGTTTTAAATATTAATGATAGTAACTCTATGGCAGTTGCCATTAAAACGGTTGTTTGGAAATGCGGAGGAGACCTAAACGCATTTATTACGTGAAATGAGAATAAACCCGCCCTGTGTGGTATATAAAACGAAAATTGTGTCATTATTACGATTGCTTGATCTTTCATAAACCTTTGTGTGAGAGTTGTACTGATTTTACTGAATATTTAGTGTATTAGTTGATGATTTATTGTTTAACTTGAAGTTGTTAGACAGATTCAAATTTCTGTCAAGTCATAAGTTTTTTGAAAATCCCAGGATCACTCTATCTTAAATGCGTTTATTTTTGACATTGGCTAGGGGAAAATTCATTTAATTATTGTTTTTTCAGTAACATAAAAAATTCAAGAAACATAGAACTTCCATGGACGTTGATTAAAGGTGTGGCTGCTTTCTGGAGGCTCTGTTTAAAGTGTTTATATCCCTAGATAAGTGAAATGGCGTTAAAGAAGGTTGTCGGCTGACGAACTGTTCTTGACATTGCTACTAATTTTGGAACATCATATGGAAAAGATGAAGAGTATTTGAAATATGAGAGATAAAATTAAGAAAACTTGGTGCGAGCGGATACCCAGGCTTTTCTTGAAAAAAAAAAATGGTGAAAAGGGCAGCAATTTGTAGAATAACATATTCTTTTACGGACTTTAGGGTGAGATCTTCTTCTATAACGTGACGTGACAAATCTAACTTGACGTTACGTCGAAGTCTCCCCCGGGTTTCACAACTGTTCATTTTCAGAAAGCTCGTGTAACCTTATTGGTAATTGGGATGCTGTGAAATTTTCCAATATTGTTGCATTATGACTCTATATTATAAATATGCATGTTGTTTGCTTTCATCTATTTGCAATAAAATTTTAGAAGAAATTCCACGAACTTTTGGATCAACCCTCATATACCGTTTAACATGATATTCTATTTACTTATTTATTTTTTCTACATTATGGATAATATAAATTTAATGAAAAATGATTTTTTGGGGGGGGGGGTGATTATGTGCTTGGCACAGAGTGGTAATTCTTTGTCGAGCTATCCGTCCTTTTACAACCAAGCTAGAATGATGTGGATGAAGAGTGGGTATACTTAGTATATGAACTAGTTACTAGTATTTGAAGGTGAATGTGGCTGCAGTAGAAACGGTTTTAGAGAAAAATCCTGATAAAGTGAGCTACACTGTAATTTTAAGACATAGGGCCGGTGGTGTCACACCATGTTTGCTTTCACGTAATCACTATAAACAAAATGATGTGATTTTTTTAAAGCTAACTTAAGAATCTGTCGGTATAAAAGACGGAAAAGAAGAAATCAAAGATCTTTTTTGGGGATTGAGTATTCGGTTTTTAAAGATGATGAGGAGATAACGAACAGTATTCAAAATCAAAGTCCATAAAACAATACAAAATAGGAGCAGAGCAAACATGGACCTCCGAAACATCAGAGGTGAGATCAAGAGCCATGGAGGGGTGCGCATCCCCTGCTTACCGGTCGCCACCGCCGTGTGCTCCCTGTCATGACCGGGAAATAACGGAATAATTAATCCGTCGTCAATTCAGTATATAAATAATGGACTAACAATAAGTATGAAAAACGTCAGTCAGTTTCTCTCAAGGATAAATTGTATTTTCTGACAAGGTCATTGCATCTACCATTGAATTTTACGAAATTATGACTTTAAACGAGACTGTTGATTATCTTGTTTCATAAACGTGCTTGTCAATAATTTAACTCGTTTTAGAAATTGTTCATACGTAGAGCAGAATTTGAAACACAGTTAAGGGATTGTAGATCCTGACCATCTATTTTTTGTCATTAATTAAGCTTATCTCAGGCATGATGACCACGTGGATTCCTATATAATGATAGGAGCCTTAACCAAACAACTGAGAAAAATTTAAACCATGATGTCGTGAAAATCTACGATATGCTCAGAGTTAAGTTTGTAAACATAACTGTACCAATTTCAAAATGTAATAACTTTGTTATAAATGAAGATACTTTGATTCCGTTTTCAGATTTTTTTTTCCCGTTATTTTACATGGACCACAAAAATACATAAAAATGCTAAATTCGATGTCATGAGGTCGATTTCTACCTGACGAGGCTCATATATTGTTTGTTGCATTACTTATAAAATGACCCTCGTATAACTTTCGTACTTTCACCTCATGGTGTGTAAGATTACATTAGAAATTCTGAGTGGATCCTTAATCATTCACAACTAAATTCCCAGAGCTATGTTTCAAATCAAATGCAATAATGAACATACCTTCGGGCACTTTGAACATTTGCTGTTCACATGTTCCGGCTGCATTACAGCATGTATAACTGACAGAGACACCACTCGTACAGTTTCTCACCTTTGTGTAACCATTCACTGTTTGTGCCTTGCCTGTGTTGTCATCGTAAATCTGGAAATTTCAAGTCACTTTCATAAGAACTTATAAAAATTAAAACTTCTCTTGGGAAGTTTAAAATTAGATTTCCAAAATAACGAGACTTACGAAGACAGGAAGCTATTGGAATCAATTAAGTACCAGTTATACTTATACGTAAACATTTAGAAATTCTATTTCATTGGATATTTATCTATAAAAATCATCAACATAATATAAATCAGCAGCATTTGCCCTTCCTTATACATTTTCTATTACTTATAAGAGAAATAGGGCTAATTATCATTTAACCGACATTAATTGATTCAGTCTAACCCCCGCCCCCTTCACTTCCTAATTTATAATTTCGTTGGAAAAATGTGATACCGTTGTTAGGATTCCGTTTCCTCCTGTAAAGCATGTTGATTCTGCGCATCCTCCTACTTGTTCGGGTTTTCCAAAGCAAAGATCTAAGAAAAAAATATATCAATAGCAAAAGTAAGTCGTGACTTTATAAGAATAAAAAAAAATAATGCTTTAAAAATGTATGAATGTTACCAGCATTACGATTACACATAAAACAAGTGTCAAGTGTATAAACTTTAATATGCACATCATGTATAAACGAAAAATCCATTTTCTTGTGAATCTTCCCGAGAATTATACTTGACATATCAATATTTCACTTTTTGAAACCTTTTTTCTTTGACAAACCTTTTACTGACAATTGTAAGGTATACTCCGATGTCTGCAGTGTGACGTTGACATAATTAATTACCAGAACATATTTAGACTCATCACTTTTCTTCGCATTCAATAAAACTAAATTTCTTAGCTGTGATGGATCATTATGATTGTGGAGGAGCCGATTTTGGACATCTCTGCTGTAGATTTCAAACTTGTTTTCAGCTACAGTGTATTTGGCGAAGCTGGGGTCCCCTGATACATACTGTTTGTAGCAAATATAACTATCCACAGTATGGTTCCTCTTCTCAGGTAG